AGGTGAGCAAAAAATGTCAGACTTACCCGAAGAAAGAATAACTGCAGATCTACCTCCATTTTCAAATGTAGGAGTGGATTACTTTGGCCCAATTGATGTAAAAAGAGGTCGAACTTCTGTGAAGCGCTATGGCGTAATTTTTACATGCATGGCCAGTAGGGCAGTCCATTTGGAGGTGGCATACTCATTGGACACTGATTCTTGCATAAATGCATTGCGACGATTCTTATGCAGAAGAGGACAAGTATGTCAAATGAGGTCTGACAATGGAACAAATTTTACTAGCTCAGAAAAAGAATTGAAAAGGGCACTGGCGGAGTTTAATCAAAATAAAATCACCAAGGTTTTAGCACACAAAGGAATTAAATGGAGTTTTAATGCACCCACAGCCTCACATCATGGTGGTGCATGGGAACGCATCATCAGAATGATAAGAAAGGTGTTGTCCTCCGTTTTGAATCAACAAACGCTGGATGATGAAGGATTACACACTGTTCTGTGTGAAGCTGAGGCAATTCTCAATAATCGACCCATCACTAAAGTGTCCGAAGATCCAAATGATCTTGAAGCACTTACCCCCAATCATCTGCTTACAATGAAGAGAAACCCAACCTATCCTCCTGGTCTTTTTGAGAAATCAGATCAGTATGTAAAAAGAAGATGGAAACAAGTACAATACCTTTCAGATCTTTTTTGGAAAAGATGGATAAAAGAGTACTTGCCATTGCTACAAGAAAGGCAAAAATGGACAAAAGAGAGACGTAATCTTATGCCGGGTGATATTGTACTCATTGCAGATTCTACAGCCCCACGCAATTCTTGGACTCTTGGAAGAGTACTAGAGACTTTCCCAGATAAAAGGGGTTTAGTTAGATCTGTACGAGTTCAAACCAAAACAAACACAATAGTAAGACCAGTAACAAAACTTTGTCTTTTATTAGAAATGTGATAAAGGGAAGGTTTAAATGCATGATATATATATATTTTTAAAAAAAATGTACCTATGTATAATGATGTGTTTGATGGCTCCTTATGTAAATATATGATTTTGAATTGTTTATGCCCCATGTCATTAACAGTTCAGGGGCCGGTATGTTGGAGCCATTATTTTGAATTGTATTTTTTGTTCGTGACACTAGAGGGCGTATGAGTATTTTGAGTATATTTAAGTAAGGTGATAATGAGTTACAGGTGCGCTGATGGAAGGTCAACAAACTTTTTGACCGTGCTGTGTTGAGAGTTGGATTGTGAAAGACAGTGCTCATGCCTAACAGTATGTTTTGAATCAGATATTTTGATTTAGTTTTTATTTTCGTTCTTTTTTGTTGTTTGCAATACCAAATGGACAATAAATGGATTTGGTTTATCCGAAATTTATTCTGAAGGTATGGACAATATTTATTTTATTCAAGACAAAGGCACGCGTCAGAAACAGACTAATGAAACCATCTGCGTCCCTACAATTACCATCAGCAAACCCAAGGAATATTAATACTAAATAAATCAAGCCTATCGTCAGTTCTGGCAGGTCACGTTAGTCAAGCTCGCATCAGCTGACTCTCAGCTGATCCACGTCTACCTATACGACGCCTATCACTGTATTCATATATAATATAATATAAGCTCCTTCAGTATTATCAGCAGCTATCGCGTTTCTCAGGAGCTAATTACCCTCCTCCATCCCCAGCTCCTCCTCTCATCCAGTCAGGATTTGGCATTCTGATTCCTCTTGAATCAGACTAAATTCTCAAATTGTTGTACAAAAATTTGAATGAATGATATCTGCAATATCTGATCTGAACTGAACTAAACTGCAATATCTGCACACGTTACACAGACTCTTCCTGCTCTCACCAGAGATTCCCAGCATTCCTGTACCTGATCTTCATCCTCATCTTCAGTAGTCTGCAGTCTTCGGATCCTCATAAACTCCCTGTGTCTTCGTTTCTCGATCTACATCATCCTCAATCTCACTTCCTTCATCTTCATTTGCGTTACAGTCAGCTAAGTCCTACGTGTCATCTAGTAATACCATCCTTCACCTGTTGTGTTCTGCTTTGCTCCCGCTGTCAATAAACTCTGTTTATTTTACATCCATTTTACATTTATTTTACATCCGTCTGCTCCCTTCTGTGTCTTGACAGTGATCTATATTTTTACGAAATAATTTATTCAAACATAAAAAGTTTGAATAAGAGTTCATTCCAGGTTACATTATTTTCTATTGTCTAGAAGAGTACAGGCTAGAACAGGGAGGATTTTTAAATATAGAGTTCACATCAATAAGATTCAGTCAGGATTCAAATGTTTCTGAAAAATAACGTACCAATTAAAAATCTCCCAGCTGAGCACTCATGCTGCTGTTTTCCCCCAAAAATGTAATATAACTTTGCTGTTCTTTGCTTACAACAGCTTACCCTCCACAATAATAAGTTTCTTTGTCTAATTGGTAAAAAAAAAAATAGTTTTTTTTATTTAATTTATTTTACCTTAAATTAAGGGTCAGAAGTTGTTGCATGAATAATGAGGCTGGAGGAAGTATTGAGGATGTTTACAAAGAGAAAATGGCTGTACTATTCAGAACCCAGAAGATGTATTTTGTAAGAAGTTTCAGTGAATATACACTTAAATAAGTCTGAAGCTTTTAATTTTCCATGTCAGCAGATATTTTTAGTCTTGCCATATATGAGTCTTGCCATGACGAATGGATGTCAAAATGTCCTATTGGTGGATCTTACCATTTGAAGGATAATTACTATTTGTTTTCTTGTGATCACTTGTTATTGAATATAAAGGGCAGGGTCTTTGATTTTGTAACTATGTACATTACTCACTCCCTTGCCTGTTCCTTGAGGTCTTCAGAGACTGGTCTACTAACTGTCCCCTAAATTTAGATTAGCCACTATGGGTGCCATTGTTATTGCCCTCAAAATTTCTGCAACACCTCTTCTTTTCTTACTTTCAATAGACTTCTAAAAGCACATCTTTCTTTCCTGTGTGTTTTCCAGTATGTATTTAATTAACTCCTCAAAAAGTCTCCTTTCAAAATGTTATTTTCTGTGTTTATTATTTCTTCACCTGGTTTCTCAACATGATCTCAATAGTATTCTTATCTATTTTATGCAAGATGTGGTTCTACCATGCATTTCCTTCTGTTTGCATAGACACTAAAACGTATAATATTGATGTACTGACATAGCATCTAAAATGTAAATCATTTAAATACTTTACAGATGTAAAATGTTTACAAAATGAATCTATGAATATTAAATCAATTGAATTCAGCAGATTCTATTGTATTTTTTATCTATAAGACTATGTTTTTGATCAAATTTATTAAAAGCACTTGACTCATTTACTAAATTTCATTCTGTGCTGCGTGCCTTCTGGTGGCAGCTCGTTTCAAAGGATTAGATAATTTAAACAAGACTTTAAAATACTAAAATGAAAAAAATCCTGTATTTGTTTAACCATTACTTATTTAATATTTATTTTGTTTGCTGTGGGACATGGCAGTTTTCTCAATATGCTATGATGAATAAAAAAATACCACAAAATATACCACAAGCATACCATAAAATGAACATAAATGCAATCCACTTTACTTTTTCCAAATTTTCAGAATACATAATGCTTGGGTTGTGTGAGGAACAGAAAAAAATTCAAGTCTTTATTCAGCAATCTATGTCTACAATCTCAGTAGCAATTGTGAAAACGATGAAATCCCGCACTCGTTAAAAATTCTAAATTAGCCGCCTCAAGAAATGTTACGAAAAAGGGTTTATATCAATGATATCAAAAGCTCATTGCCTCTTGTATGCCTCGTCACCAAGTGATGTGTGCTTTTGAATGAGATCTGTGGATCAGGATAAGATTTTCAGTGATTAACTAAAATTTTACTCTGCATCTTAGATAAAACTATTGTATACTTTGTATGCAACACATCGTCATTAGGACTACTTTGGAACTGCTTTTTGCCATTTTCGGAAAAATTATTGAGTTGTCAATCTGTATTTTTTTTTTTTTACAATATGATGTATATAACTAAAATTATTGTCACTAAAAAAATATTTTTGAAAAGTAGTTATGTTCAGGTTTAAGGATAGCGTTAAGGAATCTAAAAAATATCTATAAAATGGTAAATGTAACTATATAAATATATTTATGTTATAAAGGATTCATAACTATTTATAACTATTCATAACTGTTTCTATAATTGTAAATTCGTAATACTGCTCACATTTTAAATACTGCTAGAATGTCCATAATGTATGTTTTAGCGTCTAACCAAATGTACAGAAAAGTATATTTTTGCACCTTTAAATATTGTGTTCAAATATCGGCGGATAAACAATAAGACCAGGCTGGGTACCTATGCTCTATAATGTTTCTTTGTTTTTGTAAAGCAACCTTGGGCTCTAGAAATGTCATTATGTGTACCCCGCGGCATCCTGTTGCCTTCTTGAGCATCACTGAGTGTGTGCACCTGTCCTTTTGTAATAGTGGTGTGTGAGTCCATCAATTGTCCTCTGTGTAAAAAGATGGATCTCAAAATCATACAGTCACCGCTTGAAAGTGTTCAAATATGCAGAAACCAAAGAACCTGCAGATTTTTCTGAAGAACTTTGGGCAGTTTAACTGCTCATGACAAACAGGGGACTCATGAAACAACTATCTTGTGGACTATGGGTAAACATCTGTTATGGGAAACAGCTTTTTTCAGGACAGTACTAAATAAAAACAATAGCATGCAATTTTTCATGATCCCTCTTAAATATCCCTCAAAAAATATATATTTTTCAGATTCTGCAAGGGGTATGTAAACTTTTGAGCTATAAATGAAATATATTACCAATACCTAATACTACAGTTTTAGTGATAGATCAACTGAAAATATTAATACCAGGTGGGACCTCAGTCTGAGTTCATACACTTTGTACAAACAGTGTGTGTGTATGTGCAAGCATATGTATATGTATATGTTTGTGTGGTGTTCTCACCTTCTGACTTTGTTATGTCTATCCTCACTCTCCAGCACTTCCATCCAGTCATCATATAAGTCACAGCACAAAACACCACCAGGCAGTTTCCGTAAGAACTCCTACACACACACATAATTTAATCAAGAATAAAAAAGGATAATCAAAGAAATGTAATATATAGGGCAGAGTACAATTCTTATGCTCAAGCCATTAATTGTGATAACTTATATAGAGAATGTAGAATTAAACTGTGAATGTAGATGAGAAATTATTTGTGTAAATTTGTGTGTATACTGTATCACTGTTGAATCGAAATGACTGTGTTCTCACCATAATTAGAGATGCAGAGACGTAAACTGATTGTTCATGCAGTGAAATACTTTGCCCAGAATTCATTCGCTCCTTTAGGATCCTACAGTTTTTGGCATTTGCTGAACGACGGAAGATTCCACGGGTCTCTGGACCCTCACAGAATAGCAGATATAGTAGGTCCTATGTGTGTACACACACACACACACACACACACACACACACACACAATAGTAAATCAAAGCCAGGGATTCTCAAACTCTTTATTCAGCCAAAGCCATTGTACATAAATATTTACTGTACTTGTAGTACCTCCTCAGACTTTAATATGATATTTCTATATTTTAACAACACATACATGTACACAGTTCTCTGATTCTGATTCTCAGTTCTCTAGGTTAATTGGTTACATAACATCCAGGTAAACAATTATTTATATATCTTTTTAGTAAATTATTTATTTTTACTGTGTATTTTACAATTATTTACTTTAAATTATGATTTAATTAATTATTAGATTTAAATAATGATATTCATAATTCGGTACATTTATATACCAAAGTAAAATACGAATGAAGTGAGTAATGCCGATCATATTTATACCCGTATGTCCGGGTGGGTGAGATTCGGCTTTCAAATTTCACTGGCCAGTGCCCATTGGCTCGTTTAGTTACGACTTGGAGGTGATTAGGCTCCCAGGCGAGACCCCATGACGTCAGTCCGACGTAACTTCGAAAGTGACTGACTGAATGGGAACATGCTCTATACTGATTGTTTCTGAGTCCACTCAGAAAAGAAGACCACAATTAATTTTTTCATTAGGAAATCAAGCATCTAGAATAGACCAGTGGTTCTCAGCCTTTTTTACTCAAAGGCCCCCCATTGTCCTACACAATATTTGAAGGCCCCCCTCCCATATAGGCTAGGATATTTCCAGTATTTCTGCTGTAATTATGACAAGCTGCTTGTTTGTATTAACAGAATGTTTTAACAGAACAATTAATACTTGATATTAAGACATAATCTTGTCATTTTATGTGTGTGTGTGTGTGTGTGTGTGTGTGTGTGTGTGTGTGTGTGTGTGTGTGTGTGTGTGTGTGTGTGTGTGTGTGTGTGTGTGTGTGTGTGTGTGTGTGTGTGTGTGTGTGTGTGTGTGTGTGTGTGTGTGTGTTAAAATTGTGATGCTAATCATCCACACCACTACACAGTTTGAGAACATTGGTCAACACCTATTATTGTCATTTTACCTATATTATTTTTGCATTTTGACTTAAGGTTATATGCTATATTAAATAGATCACATATTAGAAATAAACATATGGCCAGGAGCATGAAATATATGTTATATAGTCTCTCATACCTAAACCTGTGGCTTAATGAAAGTTCCATTAACAATGAGTGAAACAATAAAAACAAAAAGGTCCAGAGCCAGTGATATCCTTACCATTATTGGTTTGGGCAGGTTTCCATCAGGACAAATGGAAGAAAGAGACTGACCAAATAGCTTGTGAGAGGCAGTTTGTGGATCAGACTGGCCATCAGATTGATGAAAGTGTCCCCTCCTCAGAGCCCAATCAATCAGAGACCTCTTTCTTTTGTGTTTCAGCAAAGCACCTGTCAGTCAATGATACAAAATGGACCAATCAGACTTTGGCAAATACATTATTGAGAGGAGCTACTGTTCCGCTGATTGTAGTTTGAGAAAAAAAAGGAAAACACAAGGAAAATTAAACCATCTTTCTATTAAATGTTTCCTCACAGCATTTCAGTGTCTCTTGATCTATAAATAAATAAACATGTTTGATCACATGATTTGATGTTCCTATTTTTCTGTAGTGTAATGGTGAGGGATGGCGAGGGATGAGGAAGGCAAGAGTAAAGGCCCTTGCACACTGAGTCCGAAATTCGCGTCCGAAATTTTCGCACATTAAAAAATAAATACGACCTCACGCTATGTCAATCACGCTTGCACGCTTCTGAATAAAATCGGATCGGGTTTGATTTTCTGCGTTTTTCTGCGGAAAAAACGCATACGAAAATTTCGGACTCAGTGTGCAAGGGCCTTAAGCCACACTCAAAGGAAGAAGATATCAGAATTGGCTGCATCCCATGCGATTACACTGAATGTTCCTAGTACTGATTGCAAGGGCTCTATTACTAATAACTGACCCCTGATATCACCATTATGTACTGTACAATAAAGTACAGTATTATATGATGAGAGGTGAGAGGAATCCAGAAAGATTATTGGTAGTATTAGAGGTAAATAATAGGAAATGTCCATAAATCTTTAACAAAATGTTAAAACTGTAAGAAGTATTTGTTTCATTATTAAGGGATCGAAAATCTTTAACCAAATTAAATGTTAACTGTTCTCTTTTATATCTCTTCCCCCCTCTCGTAACAATATTTGTGTACAGAAAATGTTTAAGGTTTCATAAAATTGTTGATTAATGCAAAAAATGTAGCTACTCTGTGTTAGAGAAAACAAAATCTTTAAGTATGCAAGTAGCATTGTTAAAAGTTAAAGATCAATATGAATAGCCATGATCATTTACAGAAAGGTTGATTACAAAAATTAGACGCTCATGTAATCATGCCAGAATTGCACAAGAAGTTTGCACAGAGGTTATTACTAAAATGTGCTATAGAAAGGTAGTGAACTATTTCAAATATACATTTTCATAAGACTAATAAAACATAAAAACCCATTAGTGGATGTTAAAACTGTAAGTGGATATGGAATTAGAATGAAAGTTTTTTAGTTTTTTTTATAAAGACTTAAAAGCAGTCAACTATAAGACATCCACAATCAACTGGCTCAACAACCTCTTCACATCTGTGAGCATACAAACCTTCGAGTGTGTCCTGGGAAACAAGGATTCTACAGCCTCTCCGAAGTGTACAAACAGGTCTGTCAAAGATTCTGTAAACCTAGTGCTGAACAAAACTGTGGTCATGTGGAAGAAACCTAGGTTCTGGTCCCAAGGCCCAGTGTTGGGAGCATCCTGTTATCGCAAGACTGTGCACAGATGCATCCCACACGGGGTGTGGAGAAGTCATGGAAGGCCGCTTGACCCAGAGTCTGTGGAAGGAGCATCATCTCTCCTGGCATATAAACTGCCTAGAGATGTTAGCTGTATTGCTAGCCCTAAGCCATTTCCTCCCAGACCTCAGAGGCCACCATGTTCTAGTTCGACCCGACAATATGTCGGTGGTCTTGTATATAAATCATCAAGGGGTCTGAGGTAGCGCATTCTATGCAGACTGGCGCACCAGAGCCTCCTGTGGTCCCTGGTCACCTGAATTAGGGAGCAGAAATTCTGTCAAGGCAGGGGCTAAGGCGCGGCAAATGGAGACTCCACCCTGAGATGGTGGAATTAATTTGGAGAAAGTTTGGTCAGGAGGACATGGACCTGTTTGTGTCGCAAGAGACGACTCACTGTCCGCTCTGGTTCTCCCTCAAACATCCCGCTGGGGCTAGATGCCATGGTACAGACGTGGAAGAGTCTTCGTCTGTACGCATTTCCCTCGATTGTCTATGTGTTTCCTTCGTGCCACCTTGAGGATGAGGCCTACGGGCTACGGCTCAGATTAGAGTCCCGGCTTGGGACCTAGCAGTAGCATTAGAAGGGTTGTCCTAGGCAACATTCGAGCCCTTGGACGCTGCATCAGATAAACGCATCGCTTTAAAGATGGCGTTTCTGCTGGCGATCACATCACTCAGGAGAGTAGGAGATTTGTAGACCCTGTCAGTTGCCTCCTCCTGCTTAAGAGTTTGCACCGGGTAGGGTAAAAGGTATTCTCCACCCGAGGCTGAGCTATGTACCCACTAATGTGGTCCGTTCTACAGTCCTTAAGGCCTTTCATCCTCCTCCTAATGTGTCGGCGGAAGTCTATATTTTTGAAGTCTATGCTTGAAGTCTATATGCTTAAGACTTCTCAATGGAGGAAAACTGATCAGCTGCTGGTGTGCTTTGGGCCCCCCAAGAAGGGCTGCCTGGCCACCAAACAGACAATCAGCAGGTGCCTCTTCTAGTCAAAGCACATTACACATGAAGTATGGCATCCTCCAAAGCATTACTGTCGGGGGCATCCCTTCAGGAAGTTTGTGATGCAGCAAGGTTTTATAGCCTGGTCCTGCTGGTCACACCGGGGTCTCAAGTGCTTTCGTATTTGAGACCCTGCATGCCTGGAAGCGGCTCGCTTCAGTCTATCAGAAACTGATGCTGTTTTGTTGCCGGCTTCCCTTTGTAGCTTCAGCGTTACGCTATTACACGTCATGAGGTGATGCAGCACCAATCAGGATTGGACAAGTTGCACATGTGCTTCAGACGCACTCCCCAAAGTGTCATCACTGGACGCAGTGTCTCATTCCCCTCTCAGGGAACCATGGTTACATGCGTAAGCTGAGACATTTCACAAGGTTTGGAATGACATTAGGGGTGCAAACAATGACATAATTATCATTTTTGAGAGACTTTTTTATGCGACAACTACAAAAGGATTCATAGAAATGATAATTAATGGCAGCAACTAGGTTTTTGGAAACCGTTCAAAAGTCTGGGGTCTGTAAGTAATGTTTTTGAAAGAAGTCTCTTATACTCACTAATGCTGCATTTATTTGATAAAAAATACAGCAATATTGTGAAATATTGAATATTATTTAAAATGATTTCTTTTTTACTATATTTTAAAATGTCATTTATTCCTGTGATGGCAAAGCTGAATTTTAGCAACCATTACTCCAGTCTTCAGTGTCACATGATCCTTCATAAATTATTCTAATATGCTGATTTGGTGTTCAAGAAACAGTTCTTATTATATCAGTGTTGAAAAAAGTTGTGTTGCTTAAATTTTTTTCATAAATAAAAATTTCAAAAGAAATGTTTATTTGAAATAGATATTTTTGTAACATTACAAATGCCTTTATTGTCCCTTTTGATCAATTTGATGCATCCTTGATAAATAAAGGTATTAACTTAACAAATTTTATAACTTAAAATGTTTACCTGTAGATAACCAACAAGTAATCATTTATGCAATTGCAATTTTTACTCATAAATGAATGTAAGATATATGACAATTTGCCCGGCCTTCCACTACTCATGTACACTGAATCTGCACTTGCAGACCTCAGCAGACAGCTCTGAACTCCATTTAACTAATATTAAATACATGTTTAATTCCATTCTCCAGAATTCCACAAATTCCCCTTTAAGGGAGAAAATGGAGCAAATGTCTACTAATGGCCTCTAGATAGCCACACAATGTAAAGAATGTATCTGGTTATTCAGGTTCCCTGAGAAGGGGAATGAAACACTGCGTCAAGGAGTTGATGGGAACAAAATACCCACTATGCCATACTGAACAAATGCCTGCTTATTGTGCTGTGAGAATTCCAGCGAGCTAAGCTGTAGCCAAAGTTTGCCATACAGTGCACAAGAGCTTTAGTGCCTGTGGTAAGATGTACACAGCTCAATACCCTTAAAACGTACCTGCAAGGCAGATCTAGTTAGGGAGGCTACAGTTCCTTTATCCGCCCAAAACTACGGCCTGCTCTCCCGACCACCCGAACCCTGTCCTAAGTACTGGGAGAGGACTCAGAAGAGAACAGGAAGGGTGATCAATGAGGATGTGGGACGCAAGTTGCGGTATCATCTACATTCATCACAACCTAGACAGATTACCAGTTGGCTAACAAATGGCTTCCTGAAGACAAAGAATCTGATGCTTTCTTTCTGGGCACCCTTATATGCCCAGCCGGTACACATGTGATGTCACCTGACTGCGGTAGCAAATCGAGAACGGCGTGTATCACAGGTGCTTCAGACACCGGCTCACAAGGAGCGTTCATGACACAGTGTTAGGTTCCACTTCGAAAGGGAACCCCATAGAGAACAGATCCTCAGAGAAGGCACAAATCTTATTATGCATTTGATGAGTTTTACTGAGCTGGCCATGTGTGTTGTGTTCTGTTGGTGACAAGTGAACTCACCCCTAGGAGTTTGTGTTCTGGTTTTTAGGGTGAAGTGAGGGGTCTTGGAAGAGACTGTCTGCTGGGCAGAACTAAATGTTTCCTGCACGGGCTCACTGGGCATGAGCAGATGGTCTTGCTGACTTCTCAGGGAATGATGCAGGATAAAGAATGGTAGCTCATGGCCTACAAGAGACAAAAATTTAGACAGGAAATTGGAAAGTTTCAGGTTGCAGGCAATTTCATTCTCGAACAGTACAGGAACCAAAAAGCATATTATTGTGTTTACTTCATTGCTAACATATTTCATTCTGTGTATGATTTTGTCTGTGTTTTAAAGAAATGAGAGTAAAACACTGTCCTCTTTTGATCTTAAGAATAGTTGCTAGGCTGCTTTTTTGTTTTCTCACTAGTACAAAATTTGTATATAAATCCGACACACATCTATGCACCTATGGATTAGTGTGCAAAATTTCTACAGAAAATCCAGCTAGCACCTCAGATTATTTGAGACCGTGTAGATCAGCTTGTTTGTTTGTGAAAGTTTATGGCTGGCATTTGGAGAAAATTATCCTGAGGTTGCCCCATTACAATATACTGTAGAGGAAAAAACAAGAAGACATAGAGATTTTAAGTTTAATTGAGTTTTGGATTCTGTTATCTAGAACTAAACCTTGCATATCCTGTTGTCTCATTCAATAAACCTTACATAAAAATGTGCATATATATGACCTGGGGGGTGGTGCCGACAGCTCATTAATAGTAGTAATAGTAAAAAAGCTTCTTTTTTTTTTTTATCATGACGGGTCTTTCATCACAGAGCTGTCAATGAGTGGGAAGAAAAGATTTTCATATCAGCATGCAGGCTAAATCACGTCCTTTGGAGGAGTCCAACCTTGGGATGTGGGATGATTTTAAGAAAAATCATGCTTGAAATATTATATCAGTATGATATATTTATAATAAATAACAAAACAAAACATCCATCCATTTTTTTAAATCACTTGTCCTATGTAGGAACGCAGGGATGCTGGAGCATATATCGAGTAATTAAAAAATCTTAAAATATAATTTCAGCTACATCTTAGATGTGATTGAATGTTTCTTTTAATTATGCATGACACTTGCGAGCAGCTGAAACTACATTTGTGGCAACCTACAGTATGGTTTGTGAATGTCATTTGGCAATAATGACAATAGAGAGGTACACGGAAATATTTTAGAGATAAAAAGTGAATTTCACTTTTCAAAAAGTGAATTTCACTTTTCAAAAAGTGAACTGTCATTTTTTAACTAGAAAAGCAAAGCTTCTCAAGACAAACTCTGAATGTTGCAGACCAATTCAACTAAAATTCCAATTTATGGACCGAAAGGGATTCAATTCAATTCTGTATTTTACCCAACCCTGATGATATATTAATTTCATGGTGAGTTTGCCTGAAAACCATGCCTTGTAATTTAAATGAACCATTCAGTTTGGTTTTAGGCTGAACTTGGTGGTATATTTAGATGACTTATTCAAGATATTAAAGGCACAATATGTAAGATTTTTTCGCCACAAGAGGGCGCAGTTTCCAACAATAACAAAGGCGTAGGTTGATGACGCAGTGATGAGCTGAATGGTGGGACTTGCTGTCAAGCTGATGGATCTAATAATGTTTATGGATGAGTGCAAACATTCATGTTTTTTAACATTACAGTGGTATGAAGCAGGTCGCGATTGCTAAAGAGACAGATATCACACGCGAGTCCCGCGGATAGAAATGAATAAGGACATTTAATTCTACCGAACTACCCGCAAGTGCTGGCTTACTCACACAGGTCAGTTTATTAGACGAATTAAACTTGTGAGGTAACGCAGCGCTGCTCCACTTGGTCTAACGTTACACTATCACACTAAATGGCATTTAAATGTGTGTTGAAAGTTATAATGTTATACTACGTGTTAGTTCATTTGCTATACGAAACTAGCAGTAAGCTAGATCAACATTAGAATAACATACTGACCATATTCTAACATTTCATCATGTTGAGCTAACGTTTTATAACATTGATTTGTTTTATGTACATTTGCTCACCTGTCTAATAAAGCTGTCAAGTCGTGACTCGTGAAGCTCTGTCAAGTCCAATTTAGTCGCGGACGTGGAGCTCTCGGCATCTCAAAAACGGCACGCTGATATTGATCCTCATTTTAGTTCTTCTTGTTTGTCCCAAAGTCTACTTGCCATGGTCTATGTTTGAAAGAAACAAGAACTGCGTGCCGCTAAACGTTACGCACTACGCAGTTGTCCACGTCTGTCGCCATGGTTACGTCATGGCTATGGCAGTATGAACGGAAACCGAGGATAGCGCGAATATTGCGTCATTGACAGGCGACATTTTTTTCCGGGCCACTTATTTAAAATTGGAATTTCTCTGAAATAAAAAATCTTTGGAGACTTTTGGGATATTGTAAGTACACAACTGCAGGAAATATATCACACTGTGCAAGTGATTTTTGGATATTTTATTACAAAATTCTTACATATTGTACCTTTAAATGATCCACCCGAGAGCAGGTTTCTCATTTTCTTCTCAATATTGTTGTTTGAATAATATTCCCTAAATTATTATGTAATTATGTAATTTATGTAATCTAAAGATCTCTGGTGAATGAAATTAGTAAATTCCATGTACTCCCAGCTGTTTTATCTGATGTTAAAGAGGCATAACATTGTTTTTGACTCCAGAAAAAGTGTGTTATGCATGATCCCTGCATGGGAGCAAATTACAATTGGTCAAGCATAAGGACATGCTTGAAAATAAGTTTGTGTGTGCGTGTGTGTGTGTCATCACCAATAAGGGGGTATGTTTCCTGTTCTTTTTCATAGTTCACACACAGCTGGTAGTCCAAGACTTCACCCTGCACACAGGAAGTGGTCATTATGTTTTGTAAAGAAACAGGAAAAAGGAAGTGGCTGATATCAAACACAGGAAATGCCAGTGGAAAAATGTGGCACAATATAGTTACTGGTCATCATAGTCATCATAGAGCAACAGAACGATGTACACAACGTTATAAAAGCACATGGCCTCAGACAAGCAGGTAGTTAAATCTACCAAATTACAAGGTGATATTGGGTGTAAAGAAAAAGCATGTGGCTCTCTAATTTGGACCACTTCCTAGTATTCAACTGTGCTTTAAATAGGTTAAATAGCTAATGTTTAAGCAAAGGTGTATTACACCATACTCACAACAAGAGGCTGTAACTGACTACTTACCAGTAGTTTGCACTGCTGCATGATGTACTGAACCACATTTTCTGCGGTCGTGCTCACATCCACTGCCACAGCAACGGTCTTATAAGCCAACAGCATGTAAACAAACAACAGCATTGACCATCAACTCACAAGGAAAAGCTTCGGGCTAGAGTACAAATAACCTTCACTTATAAACAGAGACATAGATTTAGTTCCCTGAGGGCCGGGAGTGGCTTGGTCCAAATTAAACCAAAAGGCGTTTATGTACCGGTGAGCTGTTGTCATCGGGATGGCAGATCAGCAGAACGTAGAGAAGAATGGCATTTGGCAAGACTCTTTGCCTGGCCCTGCAGGTGTGCCTGAAGAATGAAACATTATTACAAACAAAGAACAACAAATGGGAAAGCAAGAAAAAACAAATACAGAGGCGTGGAACATTCAAGAAAATGGACACAACATCAGAGCAGGAATACCTCATGTTTGAAAAGAAACTTGTACTTTGATACATTATATGCTGTTATGGACATGAGTCTTTGATTTGTTTTTTCCCTTACCACTGAAGAGCTTGTAACCATATCTCCTTTGTTTCTGACGAGCTTTGGTTTTGGAGGACAGGCAGAAAGAGAGAGGAAACGTTAGATTTAGTTAAAATATTCTAATTAGATTTTCAGACAAATGCACCTGAATGAAAATACATAAGACACTGAGTTCTGATATTAGTGAATGTAGTTTTTATTTGATATAGGTTGCTTCTAGTCTTGAGTTTGTAACTCATTTAATTTCTGATCGTATGTACCACCTAACCATTTAAGTGACCATCTTATGTACCCTTCATTAACATTCTCATTAGCTGCATGTATCCCAACCATTCCCAAAAGTGAACATTGCGCAACCACAGACGTGGACGATCCCAAACATTTACAGTATTTAGCCGCGTTTCCAACGCAGGAACTTTCCCCAGGAACTAGGGACTTTGGGGTGGTACTCCGTGTGTTAACACCGCAGGCACCAGGTCTAAATGAAGTTCCGGGTAAATATTTCCCCCTCCGAAAGTCCCTGCTTCATGCGAGGTAGTACTTTTTCATGAACTTTCAGGGTGGGACATGGGCACTGAACATGCTGATTGGTTGAGTTCATGCCGCATTTTGATTGACTTAGTTGACTATTTCAACCACCATTTTTTTCAAATCTGTTGCGGTGCGTGCAGTAACAGTTGTTTGCTATTCAAATCAACAATGGAGTTTAAAAAATACGACCGATGGACCGAGGACGAGGTTCATGCTTTATTAAGCTTACATTCAGAGGATGGAATCCAGTGGGAACTGTAAAGTAGCACGCAGTTTGCACTAATTTGCCTAATCTTCATGATACTTTAGATCACGGTGGAAACAGTGGTCTGGGGGGGAAAAAGTTCCTGGGACAAATTGTTCTGGGTAATTTCGGTGGAAACGCGGAACTCGCATAGCTTTCATAGGCTAGAAAGACAGAAATCCTTTTAATTTCCTTAAAAATGTAAACTGGAACTCTGTCCCCCCTTGAAAATTCCTCCTCAGAGAATTTCAAAATTTGTGTTGCAAATGTGTTCATGGGACAATTTATTCAATTTATATTAAAAGATCAGTTTAAGAAATGGTTTCTTGTCCTAAATCTGTTTTTTCGCAGTTACTGGACACACTGCTACACCCCATTTTTTGTTATGACTTCCTTTTGAGGAGGTTAAAACCTTGTGGGCTTCTGATGTCATAGTGAGGTGCTGTCAAACAAATGCAGCTGAGACTCTCTAAAAACTTTCTTACACATTTCGCACCCAATATTTTTCACATTTTTACAATAGTTCCAACACATGCTTACAGGTGTATTTAAAAAGAAAGAAAATGTGTCACCAACTTCCTTTTATTTCTACATCATTTGCTCACTTTGCCAGAGATAGTATTTAACACACTCTAGATTAGAGGAAGAATGAAAAGGTCATTACCTCACTCTCTTTGTGATTTTAACTAAAAGGATTCTCAGTGTTGTTTTTTTATCCTGTGATTAGCAGCATATTATGGATTCTCCATTTCATGGGATTTGACCTACTTTTATCTTCACAACAATATGTCTAATGAAGAATTAAAAATCAGGTAATTAAGGAGGCAAATAAGCACTGTAAATGACAAAGAGCTGAGCTGAGTTTGGAAGAGAGTGTGTGAGTGCATATAATGCAAACTTCACATGGGAATTTAAATGCTGCAGGAAAAAAATGTTTTCTGTCATCTTATCACACAGTGTTTTATGATCAAGTCAGTAGCAGTAGTGTGGGTGGATCTCACTTGAATTATTTTCCTCAGCACCTTTGTAGCGCCTAAAGCTTTCCACCATTCCTTTCCTTCCACTACAGAATAGTTCTCTTTTAAAGCCTGCTACTTCATCTCAAGTTGTAAAAATCCCATAAACATAACGGTTTAGAATTTTTCAGTACTATTTGTCTGAATTACATACAATGACCACATCAGTCTGGTTTGGATTGCCAAAACTACAGATGTTTGACATTTAAGCAATTTTGAAATAGTTTTTCAAAGACCACCTGAAACTGATGACATAATTGATGGTCGGCCAGCCAATCACAAACGAGTTCTTGGAGGTGAGCTTCCTGTCTGTGATGCAATGAACACAGGATGCCAGCCATATATCTGAGAGGCTAACACGATCCTTCAGCTTTAGATACAGAGACCTGTAACATGTAACACACACAATGCACACATGCATTTTTAGAGAGACAGATGTCCTACATGTTTAACATATTAATGCACACATACCCACACCCACTAAAAAGTTGACATACTTAGTCTTGGCGATGATAAGTGAATCTGTGAAAAGCAGCAGAAGTCTTTCTCTTGACTGCAAGCCGTTGGTAAGGTGAGCATGTGCTTCCATCAACAGCACTGCATTTTGGGATGCATTACATGCCCCATACTCATCGCTGTAGAAGAGTGAACAGGTTAAAATCACAATAGCAATGAAGAACATTTAGGAATGCCAATTCAATTTATGTAATGTACTGCAATATAAGATTAGGTGTCCCACATTACTTCTCCTATATTAACCCAATTTACTAAAACATCATAACATTAAAACATCAACAAGTTTGATGAGTAAGCAATAAGGAACGAGAGGCCACTGCCTGAGTGCCTGCCATCCTTCCACTAGAAAAATAGTCCCTGACAGTGAGAGTAAACAAGCAAAACAACATGCCTCGTCTAATGGAGCTCAGATAAATACAAAGAACAGGAACTGTTCTCATGCGCTATTTTTTAACACAATATAGGTTATTTCCTCACACACAAACGCTTAACTCTCAGCATGGAAAAACTTCTATCTCCTGGATCCGCATGAGAATGACAGGGGGAAGGGTGTGGCCTCAAAATTAAAGGTTTATTTCAACAGTCCACTTTAGACATTCTACTAACCATAAGTAACTTTGTCAACTAAGGGGCCGTTTACACGACATGGTTTTCAACAAAGACTTTCATTTACACGACAACAGCGTTTTGGTGGCCTGAAAACGCAAACTTTTGAAAACGGAATCTTTTGAAAATTCGAAAAATCTATGTAAATGTAGAAATCAAGGAAACAGTGCAGCCTTTGCCAACATGCCAGAATATCATTTATATAACGACACACTGAATGGGACATTATTACTTAAAGGGATAGTTCACCAAAATTCTGTCATCATTTACTCACCCTTAAGTTGTGACAAACCTCTATGAAGTTCTTTGTTCTGCTGAACACAAAAGAAGGTATGTTGAAGAATGTCAGTAACCAAACAGTTGATGGACTTGACTTCCATAATATGGGGGCAAAAATACTATGGAAGTCAATGTGGCCTACAACTGTTTGGTTACCGACATTCAATCAGCACAGGAAAGAACTTCATACAGGTTTGTCACAACTTGAGGGTGAATAATGACAGAATTTTGGTGAACTATCCCTTTAAGTAATAATGTCCCATTCAGTGTGTCGTTATATAAATGATATTCTGGCATGTTGGCAAAGGCTGCACTGTTTCCTTGATTTCTACATTTACATACAAATACTGCATTTCCCATGAACTGGGCTTTAAACAGACTTCAGAATCTATAATAATAGGAATGTATAAAACCTGCAAAAATTAACAAATACTGATTATCACAAATATTGATAAAGGTTTACATGAGCCAAAGTTTACTTGGTGCAGAAAAACGGAAAACTACTCGGTTACTATCGTAACCTCAGTATCCTGAGAGAGGGAACGAGTATTGCGTAGCTATACGCAGTGGGGAAACTCCTTTTCCTCGATTTACTGAAGCCTATATAAAACGCATTTGCAGCTGCACAGCTAGCACACTGAGCGTCTGGCACGCTCATAGGCTGTGCTGCAGCAACAGCGGCACGGGCGACTCTGAGCCAATGAGCTAGCCCAACATCAGAGCCCACCGAGGGGGCGTGGCCTAGCCTATAATAGACCCCCGAATTCGCCATTATAGCAGGTTTATACGTTCCCTCTCTCAGGGAACTGAGGTTACGATAGTAACCGAGTAGTTCCCTTTCGAACGGTCACTTCGTATTGCGGAGTTATACGCAGTGGGGACACCAAGCAAAACGCCACACCCTAAGTAACTGGTTGCACTGCAACTCAGCACCCCTGAGCTAACAGAACAAGCCAGAACCCAATTATATAATTACATATATAACAGACCAGACACTGTCGGGCCTGATTAATATATAAGAGTCAGTAACAACTAACAGAATATACTAAAACCAGACACTGTCGGGATTATTAGTACAATTTTATAACCGGCCGAAGCGGGTTTTATATATATATGTATGTGATTATGCACAGTAATTTTTGTAGACAAGACCAGAACACGTCGGGTCTTAATCATACCGAAAGTACCTTCGCCTGCAGGGAAGGCACCTCCATATTATAGAACTTCATAAATGTGGAAGGCGAGGACCAGCCGGCCGCATCACAAATATCTTGAATGGGAAAACCAGATGACCAAGCCCATGACGAGGCCATGCCTCTGGTCGAATGGGCCTTGACACCTATAGGGCAAACCTGACCCACTGAGGTATAAGCCATAGAAATGCCATCCACTATCCATCTAGACAGTCTTTGCTTAGTGACTGGATCACCCTTAGATCAGCCACCAAAGCAGACAAACAGCTGTTCTGACTGTCTAAAAGACGGAAAACGCTCCAGATAGATTCTCAGCGCCCTGACAGGGCAGAGAAGATTAACCTCCCCATCCTCAGCAGAAGGGGGAAGGGCTAATAGCGTAATAACTTGTGCTATAAACAGCGTTGAGAGCACCTTGGGTACGTAACAATGCCTAAGTTTGAGAATGACTCTGGAGTCACAGGGCTCGAAATTAACTTTTTTACCTGGTAGCACTGGTGCTCCCAACTTCAAAAAGTTAGGAGCACCAGCAAAAATTTAGGAGCACCCACCAAATTTGACATTTAGCTCTGCCAGAAGAGCGGAACGACCGGCAGCATTCTGATGATTAAAAGCCTTAATAATTGAACCTGATTTGTTTTCCACACACTTGTCCCTGCATTTTTTTGTGCTTGGCACTCTCTCCTTGTTTAACCAAGCTCTTGCGCTTAAAATGTATTGGTTTTCTTTTCGGTGGTGGCCGATGGACACTGTCATCCTTTCTTGCCCTGTTTTTTTTATTTTTTATTAAAGCTGTGATTTTACCACTGTATTTCATAGCTTTGTAAGATAAAATCCTTCTTTGCTAAACCTAATCATCATTTTGGTATATCATCATATCAATATCAAAAACTACAATAATAAAGTAGCATTAAAAAGTTTATTTTAACTAATTTTCTACCATATACAATTGAATACAATTAGCAGCTAGCTAACAACAACTTGATTTGCACTTTTTGTTTTTGGTTTCACCTCACTCCAGTCTAAACTAAAAGTTTTTTTTTTTTTTTTGGTAAGTTTTCTTCACATTGTCATTTAAATAACCTGAAAATACTGTAGTTTATTAAGGTTAAATCTTCCTAACCACTCTTCCTAAAAATAAATGGGGTAAGCACTTACATTCTTATTTTAAGAGGTGTTCTGTGTAAATGTGGTTTGATTGGTTAACATTAGTTAATGCATTAGGCTAACTAACATGAACCATGAGCAATACATTTGTTACTGTATTTATGAATCTTTGTTAATCTTAGTTAATAAAAAATACAGCTGTTCATTGTTTGTTCATGTTACTTCACAGTGCATTAGGCTAACTAATGTTAACAAATACATCTTTTGATTTCAATAAGGCTACTATTAATGATTAAATTAGCATTAACAAAGATTAATAAATGCTGTAGAAATGCAGTTTATTAATAGTTAATGTTAACTAATGTAGTTAACTAGAGTTTAATAAATTGAACTTTATTGTAAAGTGTTACCGATTTGTTATACACCGATGCAGATGAGTTCAGTGTTGGACAGATAAGTTGTTTTAACCGTTCATTAAATGGAATCAGTTCAAAGGAGTCATTAGAAAAATCTCCGAATGCTTCACGTGAAACTTCGGTCTTCTTACCTTTTACCATCGTGTCAATTCTCGATTTATATGCGTGCAGCGTGAGAGAGCGAGAGCAAGACTGTTTGAAGACTGTGAGAGTGCGCGCTGCGAGCGACCGTCTGTCTCTCTCTCTCTCTCTCTCTCTCTCTCTCTCTCTCTCTCTCTCTCTCTCTCTCTCTCTCTCTCTCTCTCTCTCTCTCTCTCTCTCTCTCTCTCTCTCTCTCTCTCTCTCTCTCTCTCTCTCTCTCTCTCTCTCTCTCTCTCTCTCTGCTCGTTCTTTCAGTAATATGAGCCCTGTCACTAGTGATGGGCGATACTGCAAATTTCTGTATCGATCCGATACCAAGTAAATACAGGGCCAGTATCGCCGATATCGATACCGATACTTTTTCATTTTAAAAGCATGCATTTGAACTTGTATGCACTTTCCTGTGCTAGAGCAGTGTGTCATGATTTATGAGGTGAATGCATCATTAATATGCTAAATCTGAACACGTTTTCATGACTACTAGTCCTATTTTGTGATTTGTGCTCTCAACTCCCCTTTAATTAGTCAGTGACTTTTACAAAACTACCCTAATTATAGTACTAGCCTACTAGTACTAGCCTACTGTTCAAAAGTTTGGGGTCTGTAAGATTTTTATTTCTCTTAGTAAAAACTGTAATATTACAATTTAACAATTTAACATAGGCTATCTGTTTTCTATGCCATAGTAAACTGTAATTTATTCATGTGATCAAGGCTGAATTTTCGGCATCATTACACTTTAATATGCTGATTTGCTGCTCAGGAAACATTTCTTATTATTATCAATGTTGAAAACAGTTTCATATTTTGTCGGAAACTATGAAACATTTTATGCAGAATTCTTTGATGAACAAAGTTGAAAGAACAGCATTTATATGAAGTAGATTTTTTTTAACAGTGTAAAACCCTTGACTGTCACTTTTGATCAATTTAATGCATCGATCCTTGTTGAATAAAAATATTAATTTCATAAAAAAGATCTTACTGACGTCAACATTTTAAATCGTTATGTACAGTTTTGGTTTGTTTATTGCGAAATAACTCCCGATTGTTTCTCTGACATCTAAGCAAGGCTTCGTTTCCCAAATGCACTGGGCATGTGAGCTCAGCGAAGCACCAGCATCGAACACTCTCTGTGATTGATTGGTTTCGTCTTGTATACAGATGACTAGGAGAAAAGGTTCTATCCTACACAATTACCCGCTAACATTCGCTTATTTTTCGCACTGAATTGCGTGCTAAATTAATAAAAAATTACTGGTAAAAAAAATACACATTTGGATCGATATTTTTATGTGAGGATCGATCCTTTTCGATACCACGTCAGTATCGAAGTATCGATACTTTAGGATCGATCCGCCCATCACTACCTGTCAC